TCTATTAGGTTAGTTACGCATGATTTATGATAAAGGAAGCCATGTTGATTTGCAGAGAGCATTTTATTATCGTTAATGTGCTTTAAAATTTTTTTCTTTAAGTTTTTCAAAGATTTTACAGGCAACAGATGTTAGTGAAATAGGTCTATAGTTTTCAGCAAGTAATTTATCTCCCTTTTTTTTATAGATCGGACTAATATTTGCTAATTTCCATTGAGTGGGTACTACTCCAGAATTAAAGGATTTATGAAAGATTTTTGTTAATGGAATTGCAAAGCTTTTGGCACATATCTTGAGTATTAAGGGATGCAAGCCGTCAGATCCGAAGGATTTATAAGGCTTTAGATCGGCAAGTTCCTGAATAATAACTGAGATAGAGAAATCCAAGTTTTCATTATAAATGCATTCAGAAAGAATACCACTTTTATTTAGCAAAGGAAAATTTTCAGAGCTTTCAAGTGTAAACATAGATTTAAATTGAGAGCTCAGAAGATCAACTATATCAGGAAGAGCTTCAATAATTCTGCCTGAAGTATCTTTGAGAGAGCGAATTCTATCTTTAATTTTTAGTTGTTTGTTGATATATTTGTAAACGATTTTTGGGTTGTTTTGGGATTTTGATATTATTTCTTTTTCATGTGCTTTTTTTGCTTTAAATATTTCAGTTTTTACTGAACGATTAAGGCGATTGTATTTTATTTTAAGCTCACTATTCTCCCATTTGGTAGAGCAGTTTATATGCCAAGCGGATTTTTTTTCTCGGATCAGGTTTTTAATATGTGGGGTAACCCAAGGATCATACTTTTTTTTTGTTTTATTAATCTTGGGAATAAAATATGTGCAAGCAGTGCGATAGTTAGAAATTAGTATATTGAACATTTGATCTGCAGTTTTATGCAGGAATAAAAACTCCCAGTCGATTGATGCAATAAAGTTAGATATTGAATCGTAATCACCTTTTTTGTAATTAAACGATTGAGATATTTTGGTAATAAAAGTTTAAAAAATAAGTGCATAAACAAGAATAAAGGATTTAAATAAAAATAAAAAACAAGAAGAAAAAAGAACCGAAACAAATAAAAACAAAGTTATAAAAAAATAGTCTCCGAAAATAGAAAATAATTTTTGCTGCCGCCAATATTTTATGGAAAGAAAAGAAAAAGAACAATTTTAATTAATTATGTCCATAGTTTATATGTCGTGTATTTATGCATATAAAAAATGTTGAATGTATTTTTTTGCATTTTTCTCTGTCAATTTATTTTTGTTGCTTTTTCTATATTTTTACTATTGTTTTATTGATATTTACTATATTTGTTTAGCTAATCTATTTAAGGCGTAATATAGACTTTAATATTGTATGTAGTAGTGTATGCATATACTTTTTTTTAATTTAAGTTTGCCTTTTTTTTGGTTTAGAGGGAGACAAAAAAATTTTTTGTCTCCCTCTATCCTTCTGAACTTAGGTAATTAAAATTTTTGTTTTCTCTTACATTTTTTCCTCACTCATCTTGTCTCATCCGTTCATTCTTTTTTTTTCTTACTCCTTTATATTATTGTTCTGATTCAAACTTTTTAAATATTATTTTTCCTATTACTTCTTTTTTTATCACTTTTATTAATGTAGTTTACTTTCTTTATTATTTCCTTGTTTTAATATTTTTTGTTTCTTTTATTTGTTTATTTTATTAAGGTGTCACTCCATTGACTTTTTTTTAACTATATGAGTGACACCGAACCTAACTTTGTAAATTATAATTAAATTTGTAATTTTTAATTTTATGGTTAAATAATGTTATGTTCTGAACAAATTTTGTATGCTCGAGCTAACAAACCTTTAAAAATACCAACTGCGATATTTGATGAATATCATTTATCCATTTATTTAACCATAAAATTAAAAATTACAAATTTAATTATAAAGGTTTTAAATTTTAAAGTTTTTTTTTTTATTATGTGATTTTATATATTTTTGTATTTTTTTATTTTATATTTTTTTGTGTTTTTTTTTATTTATTTATTTTGAGCCTTTGCGCGGAAAGAAATTAAAAAAGAAAAAGAAAAACAAGCGATTTATGAGAAAAAAGAATTAAAATAGTTATTTAAGAATTAAAATTAAGCGTTTCGTAAAAAAAAGTTTTAAACGAAAAATGTTACACTCACAACACTTTTACATACAGCAACACTGACGAGTACAAAATAAAAATATTTCGAATGCCATCCACTAGAGGTGTACCGGATATTATTTCCGGATATACCGGATAGTGAACTTTTCTCAAGTTCTATAAATGCTTATGAAGTAAAAACAAGTTTTACCATTCTATATTAAATAGTGTTCAATATGTAAAATAATAAAATCAATAAAAACTGGTATAACACAGGTATATGCATTAATAATGTATAAAGAGATATCGTTTTTTATAGCCAATTTTTTTTTTTAAATATGTTTTGCTGTTATATAAAAATAAAATAAAAAAATTACAACAAAACTTTTACGTTACACGAAAAATATATATACAATACACAGGGGTTCAAAGAAGATTATACATATATAATCATATATACATATACCCATAAAACACACACACATATACAAGCATACTTACATATATTTTAGAAATTAAGGAGATGCAATTTCATTTGTCGTTTAAAAGATAAAGTGCTTTTTAAATTTTTGATATTGTTATTTTTTAATTGATTTCATAATGACGGGCCTTGGCTAATAATTGAGAATTTCGACAATTGCGATTTTACTATGCTCAAGTGATAGTTTTGGTTGTTATTTGACCGAAGATTGTATTTTTGTGAAAATGCTGATATAAAAATATCAGAAAACACTTTTGGCAGCAAGTTATTTTTATATTTATACATAAATATTAATATTTGAAGCGAATTAAGTTTTGATATATTTAAAACATTCATGTACTTCATTACAGGGGAAGGGTTTTCTAATTTCTTTAAATAGTTAACTGCTTTACATGCGTGGTTTTGTAGGCTCTGTAATTTTAATAACTTAGTTTTGTGTGTGTTAGCCCAAACATTATTAGCGTAGGAGAGATGACAATGAACAAGACTGAAGTAAAGCATTACGCGTGATTTAAAATTAAGAAAAGCCCTAGATTTATTTAATACACTTATAGCAGAAGATATTTTTGCTTCAATGAGACTAATATGTTTTTTTCCATGATTTGGTTCCATGATTCAGGTTCTCATCAAGTATTACTCTCAAAAACTTTTAATGATTTACTCGATTTATTTCATTTTTATTGATTGACAGTTATGGCAACTTTAATGGAAGATTAGTTGATTCTCTTATTTTATGGAAGAGAGTATGACTTGTTTTTTCACAATTTAATGATAACTTATTAGCTATAACCATTGGTTAAAGCTTTCTAGTTCAGTGTTCATTGTTTTGAACAATATTTTTACATCAGAATTGTTATAGAATGAATTTGTGTCGTCTGCATACATAATTGATGATACTTTATGAGAAGCTTTATTCATATCATTGATATATATTAAAAATAATAAAGGTCCTAAAGTTGATCCCTGTGGGACTCCGCAAACAATATTAAGAGCTCCTGACTCCTCCAGGACAACAAACTGTTTTCTATTAAAAAGATGACTTTTAATCCACTTATATGTTAGGCCTTTAAAGACGCAATGCTTTAGCTTTGAAAGCAAAATTCCGTGATCAACAGTATCGAATGCCTTAGAGAGATCGATAAATACTCCCAGTACTTGTTTTCCTTTATCAAAGGACATAGATATTTTATTGGAAAGCTCAATAATAGCATGTTCAGTTGAGCAATATCTCTGAAATCCAAATTAATTTTTGTATAAGAGTGTATTTAATGTCATATAATTATAAAGTCTATAAAAAATTACCTTTTCAAATATTTTTGGAAATACAGGGAGTAGTGATAAAGGACGGTAGTTGCAAACAGAAGAACAATCACCATTTTTAAAAACTGGATGAATTTTGGCTGACTTTAATTTATCAGTAAATATACTATTCTCAAATGAAAATGTTAAATAAAATAATGGTTTACCTATACTATCCATAACATAGATAGCTACATTACATAACACATGACTTGTTACGCTTTAGTTCAAATAGCGCTTTGTTAAATTTGTGTTTATTTACTTTTTCATTAGATATGCTAGTCGCGGTTTTCTCTCCCAAGTATTCATCAAACACTTTAGTTGACTGAACAATGTTAGATGCAAGAAGAGTCGCCCACATTAATAAAATATTTGTTAAATTCTTGACATATATTTTTTCACTTGTTATAGTTTTGTTGTTAATAATTACTTTTTTTGGTAAGCAAGAGAGTTTCTTTTTCTCTCTTCCAGTTACTTCATTTATAATAGACCAGGTTTTCTTGATATCAAACTTATTTTTATTCAGCTGGTTAGAATAGTATTTTATTATAAATTTGTTTATATTTTTGTTTTTTTTTATATATATTATATATATATATTTTTGTTTATATTATATGTTTACATTTTTTTTTAAAATTGCTATTTTCTATACTTCGTCAGCACATATACCATGTCATACAGTTTTTCACTGGTTTTTTAAAGTAAGATGTGGAATACTAATTATTTTAGACTGGCAAGACTTGTTTTTTTTCATAAACACTTGTAGAACATTAGAAAAGTTCACTATCCGGCATATCCGGCAAAAATATATGGTACACCAGTAGCCGCAACAATATTTATATAAAAAATTATATTTTCGAAATAAGTATTGGCGGTGATTAACTAATAGGCATAAATAACAATATTGTTGTAGTGAAATATTGGTAGAGAGTGCGAAATCTTCACTTCAAGCCGTTGTTTTAAATTAACTAATATGTTTAGTTTTAGATTCCCATTCTTTACTTGCCAAAAAACGTTTTTAATACAAAAAAGTTGACAAATAAGCACAATGTTTCTACGGACATAATAATTATATATTTTAAAGTAATAATATTTCTGATAATCTTGATTATTACCTTGATCACTGCCATTGGGTCAATTTTTGCATTGCTAAACATATGCTGGCATCTGCTGTTCCATATTGCACTCATGATGGTTTGAGTAAATGTCAACAGCAGCTGCGAAATAGAATTTTTCTCCGATAGATTCGCTGTTTCAATCTAGAAAATCAATTTTATTAGAGGATTTGTTTTGGAATGTCAAGGAGTTATATACATATTTAAAATACTTCCAAATTTTAACAGAAGGAGGACAGTAGGCAAAGTTGTAAATGTTTTCCTCAATTTTACCACTTTTTTGGATATGTTATTTTTAACAATCTGTTGCCTTATGCTTTTTAGTTAGCAAGACCTCAGAAGTTAGACTGTTATGTAAAAAACGATTGAGGATATTTTGTGTTGGTCTGCATGCGTGGTAAGTTTTTTTTTCCAAAATTGGGTCTATGGCATTATTGTTTTTGTTGAACTTTTCCAGAAAAGTTCTGCTGCTGCGACTGTCTTTTTGTTTTAAGCCCTTCTAAGGAAATTTTTTTGTTGATTTCAGGGAAATATTAAACAGAGACCCATTTTTGTCTAATATTTCAATTGTTTTTTTTGTAGTACCAAGACGTGTGTTGTCCCAGTGCTTTGGAAAATTGTTTTGTCTTAAAATTTCAGCTTTGGTTTTGGTTCGTAAAAAAGTGAACTTGCCAACCAATACTTTAAAAAGTAGTAATAATTGTGGGTTTGGTCCTCTCCGTATTCTTTAAGTTGAAAGAGTGTTTGAGGCGAAGTGCAAGACCTTGCTCCTTTGGAGATAAAATACCAAAACCCCAACTTTTGACGCGTAAAAAAAGTGTCTTTCTCTTGACCGGATTGATATTGGTCTTTTGCCACAGGTTTTCGAAAATGGCTTTTCTTCACTTTAGCCAGAAACCACAATTTTGATATTGCTAGCGTATTTATCAATATAGTCTTTTCCCTAAGTGACAAAGTACGTAGTCCCAGAAACATGAGTTTTTTTCTCTACTTTGTGCAGAGCTACTTGCCAATTGAATTTGTTAGTTTTATCAGTCTGGTGTAAAAGGTAACATCCAATATTTTGAAACCGGTGTTATTGTTCCACTCTATGTCGTCCAATTCTGGATAAAATTTGGGATCAAAACCCCCAAGAGTTAGACCCTTGGTTTTTGAGGTATTGATGTTTTTTCAAACAGTTTTACCTTTTTGAAGAAATAGCGGACAGATTTTACCTCCTTGGCAAAAAAGTTCGAATCATCTGCGTTCTGCGGTAGTTTAAGGGATTTCAGTGTTCCTGGTAGTGGGAAACCCTCTATTCTGTTGTCCGTTCTGATCGCCAAAGCAAGAGCTTTTGCGACAAAAACGTAGAGCAGAAGAGAGAGAGGGTCGGCTTGTCTGGCTCCACTTTCCGTCGGAAAAAAGACCAACAAAAAGCCGCAATTCAGAATAGATGCCAAAACTTTTGAATATAGAGTGTTAATAAATGATACAAAAATTTTTTCCGAGATTGAATTTTTGGAGAACTTGCAGCAGAAATGCACAATCAACTTTGTCAAACGCCTTTTCTTGGTCTATTTATAAAATAAAACCAGGTAGATTTTAAACTCTGCTTAATCTATTAGATCACGGACTAAATGTAAATTTGAAAAATTTGTTCTACTTAGAATTCCGCAAGTTTATCAAATTTGGTTCTATAATTTTCCCTATTAATTTTGCAAGTTTTAGGGCCAGCTCTTTTTTTGATTATGTTGTAATCAGTGCCGATTAAAGATATAGGCCTCAAATTTAGCATTCAGCAAGTCCTCCTTGTTTGAGAATTAGTGAAATTACTTCATAGAGTGACTGGTTTGTTTCTCTACAAAAAGTATTTTGTAAGCAAGTCTTTTTTCTAAAACGTGCCAAAAAGTTTGTAAAGTTCAGCTGGAAGTCCGTCGTAGCCCGGAGGTTTTCCGTTTTCAAGTTTAAAAAGGGCTTCTTTTAGTTCCACGCCGGTTAGGGAGGTATTTAAAAAATAGTTTTCATCATTACTCAAATGTTTAGTGATATGAGCCAAGACATAGTTTTGGCTGTCTTTGCATAAATTCGTTTTGCTATAAATGTTTTATAATATGATGCTTAGAAGTTTAGTGTTTTACCAGGTTCAATCGTCAATGTGCCGTCATTCTTGCGAGTTTGCAATTGCGAAATTGATAATTGACTTGTTCCGCTGTTGAGTTTTTTTTTTAAACACTCCTGGAGCAAAAAAAAAGCATCGCAAACCTCCTGTTAGATTTCCTTTTTAAACCTCCTGTTAGATTTCCTTTTTAAACCTCCTGTTAGATTTCCTTTTCAAACCTCCTGTTAGATTTCCTTTTCAAACCTCCTGTTAGATTTCCTTTTTAAACCTCCTGTTAGATTTCCTTTTCAAACCTCCTGTTAGATTTCCTTTTCAAACCTCCTGTTAGATTTCATTTTCAAACCTCCTGTTAGATTTCCTTTTCAAACCTCCTGTTAGATTTCCTTTTTAAACCTCCTGTTAGATTTCCTTTTTAAACCTTATGTTAGATTTCCTTTTCAAACCTCCTGTTAGATTTCCTTTTCAAACCTCCTGTTAGATTTCCTTTTCAAACCTCCTGTTAGATTTCCTTTTCAAACCTCCTGTTAGATTTCCTTTTCAAACCTCCTGTTAGATTTCCTTTTCAAACCTCCTGTTAGATTTCCTTTTCAAACCTCCTGTTAGATTTCCTTTTGAAACCATCTTCTTTATTAATATGTATTGTAACCAGCCCTAACAAAAAGTTTGCAATAGTCCCACCATTTTAAAATTGACATATAGGGCTGTTTTATTGTTTGCCAATCTTTAATTAAGAGTTCAATTTTTTGCCTGTGCACTTTAATTTCCAATAGGGAACAATTTAATTTCCAGTATCCTGATCCACTCCTAGTTTTACTGAAATTGACGGTTGTTGTCAGGAACTCGTGGTCGAAAAAGGGTTTGGTGAGAAATTTGGTGTATGTTTTTTTGTTGGGATTATATCAGGGCAGTAGATTCGATCGAGTCTACATTTTACCGACTGATTTTGCCAACTGTATTCTTTTTTGTTGGGGAATTGTTTGAGAACAAACAATTTACCTGAAATACCCCGAGTTCATCAATGCCGTAGGTGTGATATTTAGCGTAGTTTGTGCGTTCTGTGTCGAATGGCAGACTTTCGAACATGTTGAAATATCCGGCCAAAAACACGGGTAGTCTGTGTCCTGTGAGGTCTCCAAAAAAATGGCGCTACTCTGCACCTGCATTTTGTGCTCATCAATTTTTATAATGACGTTTAATATTCTACAATTAGTGTCTTAAAGAAGTACCATTAGAGTTTAAAGAAATGTTGAATTTAGAGAGAACCAACAACCCGCAACAGTTATAACTTGGATCAGAGTTCCAAATAGACTTGCCAGCCCAATCGTCACTACACTGTTTAACATTGGAAGGTCCAGATTTTATTTCCTGAAAGAGTATAAGATCGAAGGAGGATTTTTAAAGGAACCCATAAAAGAATTTCACAACTAAAAGAATCAAAAATACCTTCCAGCAGCTAGGTATTTTCCTAATGCGGTTGTAGCTGTCGATCCTCCGTTGACTAGAAGTCCGATTTGTATGTTCTGGACCAAAACGTGGATATTTCGAATAAATTTATATTTATATACGGCTGATGATTGCCGTAAAGACATGAAACTTAAAGTACCATAGAAAAAGTTGTTTTTTCTTCGTTAATATATATATATATATATATATATATATATATATATATATATATATATATATATATATATATATATATATATATATATATATATATATATATATATATATATATATATATATATATATTAACAAAGAAAAAAACAACTTTTTATGTCTCAAAAGAAGCAAAATTTTATGAAAATTTCAAAATTAATAAAAAAAATTTGTTAAAACACAAATTAAAAAGTTTATTTGAAAAAAAAAATGAAAATATATGCTTTTTTATTTTTTTGTTAAAAAAGGATAGTTTTTAAGCCATAAATATTTAAAGTAGTAATCTTTATATAAAATAATTATTGTTTTTGGATGTTTTATAAAATTTCACTTCTTTTGAGACCCAACATGATATGTTTTAAACAACTTTTTTTTCAAAATATTAGGGACCCGTCTGATGTTTTAGGTGTTTTGTGCGACACCTAACATTTTTTTAAATATAGCATTAATTTATTACATAGAACACATTTAGGGGGTCTCTTCAGACATTTTCAAAAAAGGTTGTTTATGAACCACCCTAATATATAATATAGTTTAATATTACATTTTTTCATAAAATAACAGTTATAGTTTTGAGAAAAACGCGGGAAACTCGCAGATGACAATAGATCTCAGAAGATCAGTAGGTCTTATCATCAAAAACCGCTGTGTCGCATTCATCTTTTTACAATAATGATTTTTTGACAATGATATTAAATACAAAAGTTCAAATGAACATAATATAAATAAAAGTTAATATAAACAAAAAAACTTTCAAAGTTGTAATTAAAACAAGAATACAAAAAATAGCTTTAAAAAATTCATTAACAAGATTTCTGTACTCTTAAATGTACATTTTAATCAATTTTTGAAAGCAATTTATAATTTCTTCAAGCGATATATTATTATCCTTTGCTAAAATTTTATTCCAAACATGAGGAACACGGTATGTAATCTTTATACTAAAATGATTAGCATATTTTACCGAGTTTGTAGTTTGCAATAGATGATGCGACTCTGATTGTGGTTCCCATCTTAAATCATTTGAAATTAATACGCTATGACTACTTTCTTTTTAAAATCGAGATATTTTTGTTTGCTTATATGTATTTTGTTTTTATATCCGAATTACCCATATTAAGTGATGTTATTAAATATGGTTTGCTTCTAAAAAGAGATGAAAACTGTAAAGTAGAGGCTAAACCTGAAGATACATCCAAAAATGTTTCTTTTGCTGAAACTATTTGACATAGCAAATTGGAAGTGCAACATTGTTTCTTTTGAAGAGACAATTTGTAATTCGATTTTTAAAGTTTTTATTTTTTTCAATGCAAGAGAGAAAACAAAATAAACATAATAGAAAATTAGTTTATAAAAAACCAAAGAAAAAAAGTTGAAACAAATTTTTTGA